TTGGGAAGATTTAAGTTTTCAATTAATTTTATTTAAATATTAAGATTTAAAAATAAACTATTAAAATCTAAAAGATGGATTCACCAAATCAGTGTCTGGTAAGGCGGAATAAAACAACCTTAATTACTTCATGCAAATAATTATTGGTAGAATGATTTTTTTAAAGTTAAATTATTAATTTGATCTTTCAATTATTATATAAATTTTTGATTTGATTTTTAAATTAAAAAAAATTTTGATTTAATTCTTATTGATTATCAATTTGACCTCAATTTAATCTTTTCATATAAAAATAAATGACATGTATCATTATTAACATGATACGTGATAAGTAATGAATACAATAATTTTTTTTAACGAAAAAATCGATTTGGTATCAAATTAATAAATAAGAGATTAAATTAAAAATTTGTATAATAATTAAAAAACCAAATTAAAAAAATTTTTTAAGAACAAAAATCTATATAATAGTTGAAGGATGAAATTGAAGTTTAACCTTTTTCTAATGAATGAAAATGTGGGACGGAAATCTCCACTGGACTTTCTTTGAGCTTTTTGATCAACTAAGTTGCTTTTCACGTAAATCAAAGGTCAACACCGTAGTTTAACGGGGAAGTTGACAGGGAGGTAGGACACATTCCACTTTGTCAAACCCCAAAATTTACGTTGTTCTTGATGGGGACACAAAGTTTGTGCTTGTCTGGATTCCGACCAAGTCAGCATGAGTTATTAGCAAGTATTGACTTTTCTACCTCCTTTTTTGTTGGAGAAAAAAATTACTGTAGTATTAAATGTCGGCATAATTACATCCCAGCTGTTGGATAGAGGAGTAGGTTTTGCCTTTGGTTAAATGCTTAATTTGGTCCCTCAACTTTATGAAATGAACATTTTTGGTCTCTCAACAAAATTTTGTACTTTTTTGATCCCTCAACTATACGAAATGCACTCTATTAGTCTTTCTGTTAATTTCGATCGTTAACTCGCTTATGTGGCATTTTTTATAATTTTTTGATGACGTGGCAAAAACAAATTGAAAACGTGTTGATGTTGATTTTTTTTTTCATGCCAACTCACATTATTACTATTTATATTTTAAAAAACTAAAAAAAAAAAACTCACGTTCATCTTCTTCCTTTCTCTTTTTCTTTTTTTTCCTTCCTCTTCTTCCTCGGGTCATTGAACCCAATTGCTGGATTCCGTCAAACCCAGCAACTGGGTTCCACCGAACCCAGTCGAACCCAGCAAATGGGTTCCATCAAACCCAGATCTGCTGGGTTCGACCGAACCCAGAACCCAGCTCCACTTTTTTTTTTTTTGTGTTTATATGATTGTTTACTAAGAGATTATCCGAATTACAGGTTGTTGTGAGGGATTTTTGGGCAATTGTTTTTTTTTTTTTTTTTTTATATGATTGTTTGCCAAGAGATTATCCAAATTGCAAGGATTTTTGAGCAATTGAGCTCAGTGAATCGAGCTGG